TCAGCCAAATGTAATAGTTATTACTTTCCATGCTCAGAATGGAAATTGTCTTTTCCCCTCACCCCCCATTACTCTGATATTGTGGCAACAGCAATACCCCAGAGAGTCACAGAATCATTTAGGTTGGAAAAGATCTTGAAGATCAAGTCCAACCATTAAGCTAACAATTAAAACCAGCACAAAACTATGTTCCTAAGTGCCATATCTACATGCCATGACAGGGCTCACTTTTATAGAAAATCCTTACATTCAGACCACACCTCTCCATCAACTTCCTGTTCTAGACCAATCTACACCAAGAAGCAAAATGAAGCCTCTTGGTTTTAATTTAATTATGCTGTTGATTTTTGAAAATAAAAATCAGACTACAAGTTTCTAAAATACCTCAGGAACTTTAAATGACAAGTGTTACAGAAATGAAACTTCAATTAATAAAACATTCACCATTATTAAATACGCAAGGGAGCTGCAAATGAATCTTTGGATCTTCATTGCAGCATGAGAGAGAATGGGACCCACTTTCCTCAGTAATGAGGAGACAGGTGATCTCCAATGAGAGTGGCAGCTACCTGCTAGGGCCATTACAGTTTTGCAAGCTGTTCATTATATAATACTTACAAATTATGCTGAAGAGTTTCAGGGCCTACAGATGTTCAAAACATGGGAAGAGGTTAACACAGGAGTGAAACCAAGCCTCAAGATTTTTATTCACCTTCCCAAAGTTTGCATGGCCTTTTTTGGGGGGTTTTTTTGTTTGTTTGGGGTTTTTTGTTTATTTCTTTGGTGGTTTGGTTTGGTTTTGTTTTTTTTTTTTTGTGAGTGTGGTTTTTTTGTTTGTTTTGGGTTTTGTCTGTTTTTTTTAAATGGAATCAAATATAAAATTTGATCCTGAATTTTCTTGTTGTTCTCTCCCATCTCACAATTCTTAAAAGACAGGATATAAAGCCTGAATCTGGATCAAGAGTTTTGAGATCTCCCAGCCATCAGGAAATGCAGGAGGAGACATCTGGAGTAAACCCAAGTAACTCTGAGAAGTAGCATGCAAGAGAAGAGACTACCACAAACAGAGGAAGGTGTTGTGGGGTGGGGGGGAGAAGGAAAAAAAAAAAAAAAGAACAAAACAAAAGCCCAAACCAAAAGAGTTGGCAGCAGCTTTGATATTGTAAGCCCTATGGCAGTAAAACTTCCTGCTCCCTTCTCCTGGAATGTCTTTGACTATATGTTAAAAGACTGGTTTCAATCATGGTTCAGACACCAAATGCAACGCAGTAAGCACTGTCTGGCTTGCGGTACAGATTCTGTCTGCTTCGTACCATGAGGATAAAGTTAAGGTGGCAAAACAATAATTCATTTGCAGATGAACTTGCATATAGCCAGCTGTTAAGTGACATGCATGTACATATAAGTACAGACACTACTGATTAATGCTAGAACACCATTCTTCCTTATAACCGCTTATAATCCCTCCATAGGGACAGCAGCACTGAAAAAATACAGCTGGAGTAGCAGAGGACAAGTTCTGGCTCAAAGTATGTTTTGAGATTCTGTCCATTTTCCTTCACTGGTCCAACAACTGGCCTTAGGATAAAGTGAAATATGAGGGTTCCAGTACACAGCAGACAGCTAATCTAGTATTACTAAGAACTATAGGAGCAGTTACATCAACAACAGACAATAGACAAAACCAAAACCCAACAATCCACATAGCGCAAATGGCAATTATTTATACAATCAATAGATATTGGTTTAGATTTTAGCACAAATCCTAAACTGCAATTTATAGAGGAAAATAGTTTCCTTTATCTTCTCCTCAGCTATTGACCATCAGTGAGTACACAGAGCAACTTGAAGTTGTCTTCATGTCTCAGATAGGGTTTAATGCAGAATTTTTAGATCCAGTAGCATGGGGTGCTCATGCAACAGTGGACGCAGCAGTTATGGTGAAGTCCTAGTGTGCAAATCCTGAAGAGACATGAATATTCTCTTATGAGCAACTCCTGTGAGGTAATTAACAAACTGGCACAACAATTCCAGCATTTGCTATTCGCTACAAGAAGAACTGACACTATTTACCACTGTATATCATACGCATGTACACTTCGATGCGATGTTTCTAGGATGTCGGAGCTGAAGGCACTAAACTAAATCAAAAGTATCAGACTGAAGTTGTCAAAGATGGATCCAGCATCCAAAAATGCAGAAAAAGAACAGAAAATAAAGACTGGGAACACCACAATGTAGAATAGGCTATAGGTAAGGTTAACAACAAAAAGCAGGTCTTTTAGCATAATTTTATACATCATTATTTGCACCTTTCTAGTTATTTCAGTGGAAGAGCTAGCAAGGGTATATAAAGGACTAGCATATTACAGACAATTTCTTCAAAAGACCATAACAGAGGATCCAGACAACTTTATTTTTGTGCTTTTGCCTGGTAGTCGCTTGCAGAATCAAAGACCAGGAAAAATTCCTGTATTTAGGGATTATTTTGTGGTTTTTGTGAGGTGTAATCATCAACTGTTATTAAAACTAATTTCATCATTACTAAGTCTCAAACAAGACATATCAAGCACCACTAACAGAAACATGTTAACTACACTTACAGTAAGTGTAAAGTTTCTTGTTTCTTTTTAATCTGCATCAGAATTCAAGGATTACAAATCATATTAACAAGCAGACATGGTAGCTAGATTTTTTTCCTCTCTAGACTGCACGTGTAAAGCAGAAAATCCCCAAGTATGTCTACTAGAGCATGCACTCACAGTAAATGTGGTTTGAGGTTATTTAGGCATGTCTTTCTGCATTAGGGTGGTACCTCAAAACTACACTTGGTTGGGTGGATTTTGTTGGGCCTCACACTGTAGGCAGCAGACTTTGACAGAAAAAAAACTTACGTGAAGTTCACCCGAAGGCCAGAGGCAGCACAAAGCTTACAACTCACAGGTTTCATACTGCACCTTCCCTCTGGTGGATATGGCCTTTTACTCTTTATCCACAGAAGAGACTAAACTAAGTGTGAGCATTTAATCTAGACAGGTAGCCAAGAGCATCAGCCTTTTAGGAGAGTAGTCAGAGCAGCAGTATATTGATAAGAACAAGATGATTTATTATAGGTTAACTAGCTGTATGCATCAAAGTATTAATATTTTCCCACTCTTTTTCTGTCTGCAGTTCATTACAGTCCTGCTGATGCATTTGTTGCACCTTTTTGACCATAACAATGAAGATTCAAAATTAGATTCTTGGTGTGTTTGATTAACTCAGGTGGAGCAGGAAACATAATAGAGGCAGAAAGACCAAGAATAAGTTTCAATAGCCAACAAATTGTATCACAGAAGAAATTTTCTTACCTAGAATAAGATTTAGATGAAAACACAACACTTTGATTCTATTTATGATTTGTTCTGACACTTCCCCCCCCCACAAAAATTACATAAATTCAAAACCAAACACATTAGCAGAAAGAACAGATTTTCCTCTAGACTGAAACATTTGTACTCTGAATGAACAATCACTACAGTATCCACAGCATCCAATAGTAGATCACCCACATCAGCAATGTATTATTTTGACAGTTATTTGGCCATGTTCGGTTTGGAAAGCTTTGTGTTTTTCCAGGAGAACCAGAAGAGCACCACAGGAAGAATGGACCTACATAAAGAAGGCAAAAGGCAGAGCAAGGCAACCAGAAGCCAACAGGAAAAGAGGGCAGCTGGTGAGGCAAATGGCAGCAGCCATCCCACCCGCTCTCCTCACAGAGAAGAAGCGGCTCCCCCTGACAACCAGCCCCATGCAGACAACTGTGGCCTTCCCTTGTTTCAGGCCACTTGCCCTCAGTGGTCACTCCAGTAAGCAGCACTCACACAGCAGCAGGCGGGAGGGAGCAATGGGGCTGTGGAGGTGAGAAATGGTGCTTGTGAACGTGGGCAGGGATATGTGCTGAAGCAAATCCCATGCAATGGGGACACAAAAATGAGAACGAAGACCTACCCAGCATGTCCTTACCTGACACTGCAACAAGGCAGCCCTGCTGCAATCCTTACACACGATGGCTGCAGCCTCAGGGTGTCTGTGCCTCTCACTAAGGGAGAGACAGGCCCCTCTCCTCACAGGTGCCTCCTCAGCTCCACATAGCCCTCAGCACACTCCATCAACAGAGGCTTCCCCTCAGAGGGGCAGCACAAGGGGCTCCTTTCCAGGGCATGGGACACTGAGGCTTCTATTCCCAGCTCTCACTCTTCTGGTCCCACAGCCTTGCAGGAGGCACCTCCCCACAAGAGGTCTGGCCCCTTTGGCTGCCCCATACCAGACCCGTCTCCTCAGCAGCCCAAGCTCATTTTCCACCCCAAGCACAGGTGTAGCTGAGTTCAGGTCACCCCCACATTAATTCATCCTCATTAGTAACAGGCTTGGTTTTGTTTTGTTTTTATTTACCTGAGCATTATCCACATATGCAGGTTTGGGATGAAGCCATCACTTGGGAAAGTCTTTCTGGCAGGTTGCCTTGACATTAGAAAGGAGAAGAGCTGCTCCCACCAGCAGATGTTGCAGCAGGCCACGGCAGCCCATGGCTGAGGGTGACAGGAGCAGCAGGTGAGCCCAAGCTGGCCCCACCTCCAACACACAACCAGCCCGCTCTCTCAGATCCTCCCCAAGGGCATGTCTTCCACATGCTGGTTTCTCACCTCACATCAGGTGAGGTATCAACCTTCTCCTCAGGCCAGGCAGACTCAAAGGTGTCCTTCCTACCTACCATTAACTGGACCTTCCACTCAGGAAGCACCAGCAGACATGGAGGCCAGGCAGGCTCCCATACACACTGTCTGTACTTCACCTTTTCCAGTCCTTCGTTAAGGAGGCTTTTGCTCCCACAGAGGATCCATGGTTGTACTCAACCTCCGTCAGACGGGAGATACCCCCCGGCCAAGGAAAGCGGCAGCCACGCATGGAGGCGCAGTGAGGTGGGCGCTGAGGGGGAGGAGGCTGAGCCCCCGCCCGCCCGCCCGCGGCGATGCCCTCAAAGCCGCCATTCCCAGAGCGTCAACCTCCTAGAGCAGTCCCAGAGGAAACCTGGAGCAAGGCGCGCTCCCTGAGGCCTTCCTTTAAAGGGACAGCACGGATCAAGGTAAAAAGGTCTGGCATTTAAGATGCGCCAGGCCGGCATCTTAAATCCCCGCAGTTTCTGGAAAACTATTCCTCAGTTCTGATTTAGAACTAGAGGAATACAGACCGTGTGTAGCCTCCCCATTTCACCATAATGATCCTCTAGCTGACTGATCAGCTACTAGGCTTTCAGGCTTTTTTTAGACTTTACTGTTTCCTCAGAGCGGTCACTTTTGGGGACTAGATGACAGCCCCGTGCCTGCCCCTTCATGTGTTACAACTTCAGAATACTTCGGAAAAACACAGGGGAAAATACGAAGCTGGCAGAGGTCTGGAGAATACAGCTTAGGTAGAAACATACTGGGACACTAAATACAAGGAAGTTAACTTAAGAATCATCAGATATCACAAAGGTGAATGCCTACTGGGAAAAAAAGTAGTAAAACATTTACTATATAGAGAAAACAGGCACTATTGGCCAAAGTGACAGGAAAAATCCCACATAAGTGAAATCTACCTTAATAAGTACATAAGGCATATCTCTTTCAAGAATTTTAAATCTCAGGTAATAGCAGGTAAATCATCATTCACAGAATGTCAACTCTAAGTGCATTATTAATTATATTCTTGTTCAGATTCCTCCTGGAAAATGGCAAGAAGATAAATCTGCACAGGAAAAACTAAGAGCAGAAAAGGCAGAGGGGTGATGGCTACAAGAGGAAAGAACAAGAACAGAAATAAAGAAAGAGCAGCAGGAACAAATGGAAAAAGTGAAGGCAGATCTGGAAAAGGAACAGAGAAGCACTGTGGAGATGTGTGTAGTGAGGATAATGTTTTCATTTTAGACAGGAACATTAGAATGGAATCATGACACAGAACTACTGTAATCCTTGTTTTGCTTTTTGTCAGCCACCCATATGCATCCAAACACATCAATGTTCCAGCATGAAGAAACAGATGTAACACAAAGCATTTTCTGATATAATAGAAGACTAGTAACGCATAAGAGTATGAAGGAGCCAGCAAACTGATCCAGTACCCTCAGGCAAATTCCAAACTAGAGGATAACAATCACAGACCTTTTCATCTGAAACATGTGCATACATAAAGTTCTATCTTTCAGCAGCATATTAGATTTTTCCTAACTTTAATGTTGCATGTATGTCTACTAATGTAATTTAATTCTTTTTAAAACTTTCATCCATTTATCATTATTCTGAATTCTGAGACTGCCCTAAAATTACAATTTCCAAGTTATTAATGAAAAATCAGTATTGACAATAAACTAGAGTCATTAAACAAATTCAGTTTTCCAACCAATTGCAACTAGCTTGTAGGCAGTTCATGCAGACAACATTCTGCTTTTTTCCATACAGCACCAAAACCACTACTGAGCATTTTCCCTGACAAAAACCTCCGTGTGGTAACAACTACATAGGTATAAAGATACCTCATAGTGATGTATGTTATTCCTTAATGATATAAGAACTTTCTACTGAAAAAAATAAAATAAAATGCAGTAAGAGCACTTTTGCTCTTTATCTCTGCTGATATAGTTTTAGGGAAAAAAATAACCACCACTAAATACTTAAGGCAAAGTTCTGGGAAACCCACCAGTATCAGAAACAAGCTCTAACATAATTATCACTTTTCTATTCACCTTTTGAAATGTTCTGCTTACACAAAACAACACATTCTGACATTATTTCATCGCTTTGCTTCTAAACTTTTTCATCGAGCTGTATTTACTGGGAGGAACAGCGACCTCCTTCGGTGGAGGAACTGTATTTACTGGGAGGAACAGCGACCTAGAAATGGACAGTTTTTAGTTCAGTCATTTGTAGAAGTGGCATTCTTTAATCAGATGGTTGAAAGAAAGAATAAATCTGACTTAAATAGTCTTTTGAGATTAGTGCCATGCCCTGCTTAACTTGATTTCAGGAAAAGCAAGTAGGCATTCAAGTCAAACTGCTAGGCTGGGAACGCTGAGTTACGGTTTGGAAATTATCTTAAACAGCACTTCATGGAGCAGAAGAACTTTAGTTTGATTTTCCGTAACTTCCAGTTCCCAAACTAAGGAGAATATTCCTCTGCTTCATGAACCTCCTCGACTTTCTTTCATGTTCCTTACTCTCAGTGTGAACTCTCCAGCAAATATAGCCCATTTTGACCCCCATTCTGTTTATATCTAAATCTCAGCCAAGGCTTTCCACTGCCTCCTTGCTTGTTGTAGCCTGGGTTCTTACTCTGGGTTTGTGTTCTTGCTCCATAAAGACATAATCTGATTTTTTCTTCCGGCTTCTGTTCTCAGAACTTTCCTAGCTGACTCTGCTCTTCTCCATCCTCTGCCTCCACATCCCTGTTTTACATAAACCACCTACCTGTATCCTATAGTCCTCATGTCCTTCTCAAAAACACACATGTAAAAATTCAACCCTGTACAGACAATGTGAAGGAAAGTAGTTGGGGGTTAGGTTTTTTTAATACTAACTTGCAGAACCAACCAGACACATGTGAAGCATCACTAACCAGCACCTGTTCTCTCTTTAGTCTAATTTCTCTCTCCTTTCTTTGGTAATCTGCTTAGCTCTTTGGGCTGGAACCTGCTCTTCTTCTGGCAAGAATGTTCAGCAAACCCAAGGTTGCTATAGCAATTAATAATAATTTATGTTTTAGTTTACAGAAACTAGAACAAGAGTAGAGGCGCCAGGAACAGGACACAGCAGTCACAATTAGAGAAAGTGGCACAGGAATGTATTTGGCAGCAGCAGAGGATTGTAACAGAAAATCATCTGCAGTTCCAGAAGAGACAGCTAAAGGAACAAGGAGCAGGTAGTCTGAAGAAACGCTAAAGCTTATTTTAGCTGCAGATAATTCATGTGAATGGATGATTTCTGGTAAAGACATAGACTTAGACTCTGTGTCTGCCTTGGAATTCCTGTGACGTCAACTCCCAAACTTGTAGTACCTCAGTTGCTTCTCTATTAAATAGATACGGTAACAGTCCCCTTTTCAGAGACCCTGCAACCTGGAGAAATTCAACAGCCTAGCTGTGATGCAACTGTGCAAGGTGCTAGCAGTAACATCCATGCTACATTTGTTCATTTCTTGATGTTTTTGTTACATAACTTTTCTGAAAACCTAAGTCCCAAGTAGCTACACAGTTGGGGGGAGGAGGGAGAGAAGATATTGTACTTCTAACAGATAGTTGCACAAAAAGACTTGAAAACCTAAATGCCAAACAGATTTTAAAAACTCCAATTATAATTTAAGATAAACTCATGCATTTGAGACAATACTTGTAACAGCATTGTAACAGTACTTTCTTTCTACTGGTAATTGATGAAAAAAGCATTTCCTAAATAGGAAGTAGGTGAGCAACTAATAGTTGTTGGTGATCTGTTTCTAAGAGGCAGAAAAACAGAGAAAGAGGAATGCCTGGAGTATGAAAGAAGAAACTGGGAGAAGATATGAGGCTGAGGAGCAAATAAAGAGGAAGATGCTGGACTAACTCTAGAGGAAGCCAAACAAGCAGCACAGGTTTTAATCAGGTATGTAGCTATTAATGAGAGTGAAGTCCTTTTTTTCTCAGTAATAATACATATTTAACACCCAGTGCCTGCCTATACAAAATACTCTGTAGTCAGGAGTTTTATCAGTACAGTTAACATTGAAGAGTAGCACTGATACCTCAGGAGTTGCCTTCAATTCAGACTCCAAGACATAATGCAGTTCTTCTGCTATTTAACCAGTTTTACAATGTTTCCCAAAATTCCATCAGCAATTCGAATATATCCTATCTGTATTTTTTAATTACTTTAGTTTTTAACATCCATTTATGCTACAGAAAGAAGCCCAATTAGATTTCCCCACATACCTGAAACTATGATTACTTTTACACAATCCGTCAGAACAGATTCCAGCATAGTATGCCTCCAGGACTTCACTCCTACCAGCACCTCAGAACACAGGACCCAGGAGTCTGCGTACCACACACTAAAACATTGCAAAGAGCATAACAGACCTTCTTAAAGCAAGCCTTCTTGAAGAAAGGTCTTACAGACCTTCTAAAAGGAGCAGACCTTCTTAAAGGAACACAGGACCCAGGAGTCTGCATACCACATTCTAAAACATTGCAAAGAGCATAGCAGACCTTCTTAAAGGAAGCCTAGATCAATTTGTGAGCCACAAACCACAGCTGAGCACTAGCAATTATCTCCTGCTTGCTGTTATGACAGGAGAACAAACTGCCCCAAATGTGTAAGCCAACATCCTCTTCCTCAGCTCATTCCAAACATTGCTTAAATCCAACTCCTGGGGGAAGTCCAGCCTCCCTGCCTCAGAAGGCACTGTATACACTGTGGCAAAGTCAAAGAAACTAGGGGTGAATCAGTGATGAGACCACTGAGTGTGTAGTTTCAAGTTGAAGCACCAGCTTTCTAAACCAAGGAGGAAGCCTGTCCTGTGTCTGCAATCTGCTTTAACACCTTTTACAGGCAAAGAACAGATCTAGAACAACCTCTGCAGTTCCAACCAGCACTACTAATAGAAGCTACCAGAGTAGAACACACTCAAGATGTTCTTCACCTACCACGGATGCTTTCTTATTTTCAGCTCCTTGAAAAGCTAGGCCTGAAAACTACAAATGAATAAATGAATGCCTGGAATAGGTCACTGCAGTGAGCTCTTTCAATTGCAGACTAACTCAAGATTCCAATCTTCAATTCAAGAGAGGAACAACATTCCTTTTCAAGATAGGTGCTATTCTCATTCAGAAAGCTGTTTTCTCCAGACTTCACCAGTAGTCTGTGCATACATTCTATGATCACAAGTAAAAGCACGCATTCATGTTTTATGAGCCAGCAGAAGTAAATCTAGACAGACCTAGAGGTGCCACATTGGTCTATTTTGTGCTGAGAGAAAATAATGCATCTATCAGTTTATAAGAGATACGAAGACCTCAGTGCTGACTTTTGGGAGAATTCTCCAAACCAAGAAATTGCAATAAATGTACCACTGTTTAAGTAAAAGGCTAGATTTCAGATTCAACAATAAGACAACAGAGGAACTACAAGGAAATTTTCTTCCTTGCAAAGTAGGTTTATTTTCTGCTTCTCTAATGTTACATAAGAAAGTGTAACATTTGTAGATTCAGTTCATATTGCAGTTCCTGTAGAGAGTCTCGTGTGGTGAAATCAAAATTTGCAGTCTCTAAATTGAAGCTGAACTTCATTAAGTATGCATTAAGTACCGATTCTAAAAGCAAAACCAAAACTGGTTTACACTACTTCCAACTTGCACAATTCCTACAGTCCTCTCTATTGACTACTCTCAGAAGTTGATTTTCTCATTTAAGAAAATTTACCCAAATAGCAATAATTCAGAAGTGCATACCAAAGATGCAGGACAGATATTTTTGCATTGTATTCTTAAAACTAGCTTCAATTTAAAGTAGAAAAAGCTAAAAAGTAGCATACAGTTGTAGTGCTTCTGAAACAATACATGGGCAGTCAAAATTTGTGACAGACTGAGTTTTAGCATCATCTGACACCCTAACTGCAGTTCAAATCCTGCAAACTCACACATTTAATTTCAAAATCTTATTTAGTTGATGACGATGTAGATATATTTATACTTAAAAGAATACAGAAATCCTTTAAACATAGCAACTTTAAGAAAATCTGTTGAGACCGATTAATTTTGTAAAGCACTTATCAATACAGCTTTTATACGCCACTGTACTGAATACTAAAAATACCAATTTCAAAATTAGAACTAAATACTAGCTTCCACCGCATAACTGACTCAGTGAAGATGGTTTCATTCTCCCATCATTTTTCTTAAACACTTAAAAACCAGCCAGGAACAGCGGAGCTCAGTTCTTCCAATATGTAGGCAAGCATGTAAGCAAATTGCAGGAGAAAAAAAGAGTATTTTCTGATTTTCCCCAACATATGAAGGCTAACCCAACTTGCAGGCATGCTTCAAAGCCAAGAGTGATTTAGAAATTCTACTCTTCTCAGAAAGAAATTCTTTAAAAAGTAGTTCTTCCAGAGAAATGAAGAAATTTCAAGTCTGTCTAATCCTTGAGTTCAAAACTCAGGTTTAAATGTGCAACTTCCAAGAATGATATTTCTTAAGAAAGGTACTAGTGCATCTGTGTAGCACATGTATCTTCTCATTTTACATGAAACTCCTCAAAAGTAATCTTTGATGCAGAGTTTTCCTGTTATTACTGTTCCATCAAGTTATAACAATGCAGACACTGCTCTAGACCAGCAGCTCCGCTGAGGCACTAGCTTCACGTCTGAGGCTTCACAAGTCTGAGAAAGAGGTCAAATCAGTTTGTCACTGGTACCTTATCCACTCTGTAGAGAGATGTATTTTAGGACAAGGTTAACAAAAATTTCTTCGCCTTGAGCTTCAATCTCTGCAGGAAACCCTCCTCCATAGTCTCAAGAGAACCAAGTGCAGTGCTTCAACTAGAAAGCTAATATAAATGAGCATATTAAAACAGATTTGGAATAGGAAAGTGAACAATAAGAAGCAAAGATAGTGCAGGAACTAGAGTACGAGCATCACACCCATGGGATATGGACTCAGTTCTCAGCTCCACCTTCGGCTTCCAGAGTGACCCAAGTACATTACCACCCCCTGAGCCTCAGATCCTAATTTGCCAAAGGGCAATAATAAGGATTTTGTTTACCAAGAGCATTATATAAATTAAAATTAGAAGATGAACTGATAGTAATCACAAGGCTGTTTTATTTCTGGTATTCTGAAGCAGACGTATTTACTATTCTAAAAGAATACTGGAAAAAAAGGGCAAAGAAGCTATGTTGTTCTACATCCCAGTAGAAATCCCTCTTCCCCCTAAGAACTGAATTACATCAAATACTTCAATAAAACCCCATATTCTGATATTTTGTAAACAAAAATTTTAATCTTTGAAAAAATTGCTTAGTGCAACTATGTGTACAAAAGTATTATTAAATCAGAAAGAGGACACAAACCACAAGCATGAAAGAAAATGCATTTCTAGCTTTACAGCAAAAGGTAATAATTCAAAATATGCAATTTCTTCCAAGTATGCCAGCACTAAAATGCACCTTTAAATGAAGTTGGCATTCATAGTGAACTTGATTTACCAAGCCATACATGAATCCTATTTATCTGCAGAAAAGCTGAAGCAGGGACAGTGCAGAAGTCTTCTCCCAACACTACTCTGCCCACAGCCTCCCATCTCAGCTTTCATAACCAGTAACATGTTCTCAAACTGACCATTTAGAACCTGCAACTAGCCAGAACACGAGATCGACCCTCATGATGCCTGCTGAACTGTAACTCTTCTTTGTCATCCATCATAGACACAGAGAGATTAATGGTACCATGATCATATGAGATGTGAACATTAAAAACCATCTTCGTATTTCCTTCCAAGCTGCATTTTCAGTTTAACTTTTGTGCATGATGTTCTATGTAGCTGTATGTGAATATTCGCTAACAAGAAAAACACACAGATAGTAGTCTCAAATAGTCACCTGAAAACTAAACAGATCACGTATTTCACTGGGGCAAGCAGAAAAAAGTTGTTGGGTTGTTAGTTGGGTTTTTTTAATGAGGTATATTTAAAGGGCACATTTTTTTCCCTGGCTTCAGCATATATTTACTGGAAAAGCATGCCCTAATTATAACTTCCTATCATTTGGCTCATTTCCAAATACTTGAAAAGAAAATACAAGTTGTTTATAAAATTGTTTTTCTTGTTTATTTTAAATGAAGCTGGTACAGACAATGTCCATTCAAAACCCATGTCCCAGGCCAAAAGGTACAAACAAGAGTGTCAAAGTAACACCAGTTGTCTGCTGTGAACATTCCTGCACGAATACCTGCGTGTACTAATTGCTATATGAAGTTAAAATGCTTCTGGGCTCTTCTGGCAAGATTTAAGAATCATTAGGGTTTTCAATTTTATGTCTTCAGCAAAGCCATCTCTGGAGCAAGGTACAGATGACAACAGTTCTAGCTTTTCCATTTCCAACTTGGTAATCTTCTTCATTGGGCCATCAGCACAATTTAAGCAAAATAGCTCTGAGTTATGGATACACAATTTCTCCACAGTTTAGTTCTCTGAAAAACTTCATCTCGCACTGAAAGTTATAGTCCAGGAGTGAAACAGTCACACATCAAAACTTCAGGGCAGATATGGAAGTCATTAAGAACACTTGCCCACCTGGCAGATCTTACAGCCTTCGTGCCTGAAATGCACGAACCTAGTGAACATACAAATGCATGTGTGTACGTGTATTTCTAAAGGGGAGGGCAGAAGGGAAGAGGGGAGCAAGGCTGCAGCTGGATCACAGAAGTTCAGCACAATGAAAACAGAAACAATAGTGTATAATGAGCACGAGAATTCAAAATACCAGACGCTTGAAAATAAACTCCCAGAGATGGGGTGCCAGTTTCAATTCAGTGTTGAACACCACATTACAAAAGAACTATTATTTAAAAATAAAAAAGGATTAAGGG